GGGCATTTTCCTACACTGCAGGTCTCAGATAGCGTGTCAGCGCTGGCAATGTGTGCTCAAAATGTATAATACCAACGTTTCTTTTTTAATCTAATTACAGGAATATTTTCTGAATATATTTAAAGTGGCTGTATTAATTTGCTATGCTACGATCGATTGAAATTTGGTTTTGAATGGGTAGCAAAAAATGGAAGGACTTTTCCCTTAACGGGATAGAGTTGGAAGGTGTTGATGGCATGCCCCAACCAAACTTCCTTTAAAGCCACCCAGCTCTAATATCAATTATCTTTCCAAAGATGAGAGTGAAACAGAGGATGATGGTGACCAGTACAGTGACCCTGAAGATGACGATGGCCAGGATTCCGATGCAAGTGGGCCTACCTCATGTTACCCAGAAGATGGACCTGGTGGGGGTATAGTGTCTGGCAAGGAAGATGAACTTTGCACGGACTCAGCCCCTACAATAAATGACTCTTTTACAACACATGATTACAAGGGATGCATTGAAGATTTTGAAGGAATAGTTCCTGGGAAAGATGCCTCCAAATTGGGTAATCAGGAGAGATCAAAGTATGCACAAGAAAATAGCTCTGAGGAATTGCAGTACGAGGAATTTAATTCTAACAAACGCGTCTGTGATGTAACCTTTACTATAAATTGTTCTAAAGCGAGTCCCTTTTCAGCATATCCAAGGTTGTCTAGTATTTACAAGAAACCAGTGTCTGTTGTACAGCCGTATACCTCATCAGGTGCAAAACTTCCAAGTGACACCTCGTTTTCAGGGGAAGACGAACTAGACGGTGATAACTCAAATGGCGACTGCAGTCTTGCACAGGTTGTTTTGCATTCTCGCGACAGGATTGCTCTTGCTTTGTCCATGGTCTCTGACGAAGAACAAGAAAATTTTCCACAGGGGACTACTTCGAAGAATGCATTATCACAAGGAACACTGGGTACCTTAACGGAACGTACTTCCTCACCAGGCCCCTTCTCACGAACTTTCTCACTGAAAGGGACCTCATCGCAGAATGTGTCTTTGAAAAGTACCTTTTCGAAAAATTCTCCTGAAACGCCTATATTCCCAGCTGGTAGAAAGTCCAAGGTATTAATCCAAAATGGAAAACACTCGAAACCCACTTTTCAAAATGGTGTCGAATCCTGTTCAACAATGACAGGTAGTGAGGAATCCTATCTTCAGACATCTGACTCAAGCTTTGAAAAGAGGACCAACGATGCTGCAGCTACGAGCTGCAAACTCAATGAGGTGCTAGACCACGAGAGAAGTAAGATTCTTGCTTCAAGTGAACGTCACCAATTACGCTCCAGCGAAGAAAAGTCGTATTCTACTCCCAGACGTCGATCTCTAAAAATTCTGCCGCCCTCCTCGGGCGAAAAATTAAAGTGCTCGGTAAAACTTGAAGGCGTTTACCTTAAGGACTCGTTTCTCAGTGCTTCCCTAGCTCAGCAGCCGAATTCTCGTTCCACATCACACCACACATTACGAGTTCCTGATAAAGATACAGTCGCAGTCAGTCCGTGTTCATCAGTCAAAGAGAGCAAAGCAAGTCAAGAACCGCTAAGACGTTCACATCGAAAAATTGTGACTAATTCCGAAAAGGGTGGTTGTACGTCGGAAGATAATGCTAACAAAAAACATCCGTGTAGTGATCGAATTGTGTCTCCACATTGTAACGTCAAGTCTGGATACAGGACAAAAAAGAGGTTAAAAGATTTGGTTTCTAGCCCAAAAGAAACATTAACAAGTACGTCTGTGGTAGCTAGTGGTCCACGTTCTAAAAATTCCCGTTTTGGGTCACATGCGGGTAAACGGTTAGCGAGGAAAAGCAGTCAAATGAATAAACAAGACTGTCTGCCTTCAAAAAAAGCCAAAAAGGGTTCACCTACGCCTATGAAGGGACGAAACAAGGATAATTTACATGGGGAAAGATCTTCAGGGCCTTTAAGATCGCAGGACACAGGCAAGCCTCTTATGAAGGAGAGGGATACGTATTGTTTACACAGGAAAGAATTCCATGCGTATAGAGCAGAACTGTTGTCGTCGATCAAACGAAATGTCCCCGCCTTTCGTGAATCTTCACCAGAGCCCTTCTTGTTTCCTTGCAAAGGGAGAGGAACTTGCAATAAAGAATTTTGCTTTGAATGCTGTTAACCATGTTCCATTTATCACTTTTTATAAATGTCCTTGACGCGAAGGAAGCTGTGTTGGCATACTTTGTTCACAATAGTCCAAATGATGCTTTGATCATTTTGAAGTAAGTTAAGCCAAGCTCATGTGCTAGCCTCTCAAGAAACTCTAATGAAATTTGTAGAAGTAGACGACTTTGAAGGCTATTGAAAACAAATACGACTCTTTTGACCTTTGAATTTAGATTTTATACCCAGTGACTTTTTAAATTATACTTCAAAAGATGTTGGGGCGTTTTGTAAATCTTAACAGCAGGCTCTGTTTTAAAAGATTCGTCTAGTAATAGAATTTTAATAAAGTATTCTTAAAGAAAAGTCTTTCAACAATCTAAATCTAAATTTCAACATTTTAGCTCATGTTTACATAGCTGAGACTTTAAATAGCCATGCGATATTACCATATGTTCGCGTATAGAATGGTACGTTGCTCGCTCCAATTAGATCGCCGCATTTGGGTATGTATCCCGCACCAATCAAATTGCTGCATTAGGGTATGTGTCTCGCACCAATCATATCATAGCATTTGAATATCTTGCACCAATCATATCATAGCATTTGAATATCTTGCACCAATCATATCATAGCATTTGAATATCTTGCACCAATTACGGGGCTGTGCATAAAGAATGACATTCACCAGAAATTTTGGGCTCATTTGATAAGTGTGATAGTGGGTGGCCTTCGCGAGAGCCTTGTCGATTTCTGTCGAGATTTATCGGGATACGAAAGGTTCGCATTTAACTTTTTATGTCAAAACGTGTTTTTCCGCTCCTTTACTCAACGCACA